ACCCTGTAACCTGGCCGGACTTCCTCAGCAGTGTTGTTTCTCCTGGACTTGCACTGCTCGTGTCTGCGAGGTTTGATTTGGAGGGGAGAAGGCAAGGGGAAAAGGGCTTTTGTGGTTATGAAAACAAGCTTGAAACCAAAAGGATCCAAAGCAAAAGGCAAATCACACCATACAGCCTTCCACTCACTGCACTTGAGCCATCTGATGGCCCAAAGAGCCCCGACTCAGCCTCTTCTGAGCGCCTCAGGCTTACAACAGATTTTTACATGTTTTTGAAGCCTCTGATTTTGGCCTCACAACCCCTGGCACCATCCCAGCGCACCCCAACTGTTCAGCCAGTGGCACTCATTTGGGAGCAGCTACCATCTTCTCCTCCCCATGCCACAGAGCTCACACCAGCACCACCGCCACCAGGCCCACAGCAGCATGCACAAAGCTGGTGGGTCAACCATCACCAACCTCACTCCGCGCCAGACACTTCCTTCGTCTGCCCTGGAGGGTGAGGCCCCGTTCCCTGGGACTAGTGAAAGGAGGAGAAAATGGAATTTGCTTCATCTGCAAGCTATAAATCCTCCCCATCTTCCTGAGCCCAGCACAGACGGGAACAGATGTGTGGCAGAGTTTCCCCAAGGCCCCAGCTCTGTTGATGATGGCAAAATAACCAATTTAAGTGTAAAAGCTGGAAAGCAGGAGAGAAATAAGTATCAGGGAAAGGGGGGAGGGCAACCATAGAATCACAGAATGGCTTAGGTTGGAAGGGGACTTCAAAGATCATCTAGTCCAACCCTTCTACCATGGACAGGAACATCTTTCACTAGATCAGGATGCTCAAAGCCTCATCCAAACTGACCTTGAACACTTCCATCAATGGAATGCTTTTAAAGGAAACAAAATTAATACCGTTTGCTTGGAAGAATGTATTATTTTGCTTAACAGATTTTGCTGCTCAGTGAATACAGAGGATGAGAGCCGCTATGCATGCTGTTGGATGGGGTCTGCTGAGGAACAGAAGGAAGAGCCAGGTAGCACCAAACGTGCGAGCACGGAGAAAGGAGCCAAATACAAGAGGTGGACTGTCAGGACCCATAGGTGGATGATGTCTTATCCATCTCGGGACCTGTCTTCTCCCAACATGCAGAAGATGCTTTCCAACAGCAAACTCATCCAGCTCCATTTATGGACCACCCTTGGCCCCGGTGCCAGTCTTCTAGAGTCACTGCTCAAATGTCTGGACGCCTAATTTTGATTTCCAGCCTAACTCATTAGCAGCTACACTTCCTCCCCATGCACACTTTTTTATCGTGTAGAAAATCATCTTCCCCAAGCTCAGAGAGCTCCCCTCCCTCTGTGGGGCAAATACAGAGCTGCGTAAGACATCAAGCACCTGTACATCCCAGGGACAGTGGTGCTCACACCTCCCAGGATCAGGAAAGGGTAATCCCCCGCAAACCGTAGCATCAGGGAACACTAGCACTAAATCCTTCAGAAACCCAGACCAGATCACAACACGTGGAAGTTTGGTCCGGTGTTTGTAGGACCTATAAAAACACAGCTGCGCTCGCCTCTCCAGCCAGCTGCACAGCAGAGACCCACGCAGGACGTTAATCAGAGCTGTAGTCTTATTGATTATTATTATTATTACTATTATTACAGCAGTCACACCCAGGGGTATACCCCAAACGGATCCCCGCGACAGCAAGACACGGTCTCTGCTTTGATGAGTTGACAAAACTAGTTTGAAACAAGTTGGAGAGAGTCAGTGTGGCACACAGCGAGGAGGGGAGCTGGCAGCGCTGGGAAAATTGCTCACTTAGCTGGTCTAAACCACACGCGCCTTGAGTGCTTCCAGTCACATTAAAATGCTGCTGGTTTATAAACTGCTGGCTGTTGCAATTTCACTTTTTTTTCAGTCATTTAACCATTTCTAACTTGTTTTAAAGTTCCGTTGAGTAGCTTTTAATCTGGCTGATTTTTGTGCAGGTGTTGGGGAAAAAAAAAAATAAGTAAAATCAAAGTCAAGGTGAGACTAAGGAAATGTCTTGGTGGGAGGCAGCGGGGGGTACAGGCGTTTCCCCACCGTGCACACAGCGCCTGCTCCACAGCCTGTCACTCCAGTGTCTTTCGCCTGCGCCTTCAATGTGTTCAAGAAATAAAACCACAAATGCTATCAGCCAAGCAGACCCGCTACGTGCGAGCAACACACCGACAAAATAATAAAAAAGAAACGCGAAGCCAGAGGATGCATTTTCCCTAACGTTAAAAGCAATGAGCTGAAGAAATTACCGGGAACAGAGTTTGCCGGTCTCCCAGTGAGATTCCCGATACCATCCCTTCAGCCTCTGGTAGCAGGGAGCCAACTCCAGCGACAGGGCTGGGGCAGCCCAGGCTGTGCCAGGCTGTGATGTGCACGGCCGCTTTCTGCCCCATCGCAGCCCTGGGACAGCCCTTCCCTGGAGCGGTGCCACTGCCCACACTCATCTCTGGCAGAAGGATGCTGTGCTGTGTGCTACCCACGCGCTGGGCAGAAAGCCCATGTGCCTCCAGCGAAGGACCTCCGGAGGGGCAGGAGGGATGAAAACACACTGGGGTACAAGGGGATGCTGCAGCTCCTCCACCTACAGACTCACAGCTAACCAGATGGGAAAGACCTGTGACCAACAGAGAACAAATTCAGGCAAAACAACCCATGGTGCCCCTTTACACAGGGAATCAGTGGGGCACGGAGCAGTTTCCCAGGCTGAATTATTGCTGCAAAAACAACGGAGGTCATTGACGAAACAATTAGGGAGCCTGGAGCAGAGACGGGAGACATAGAAAGTGAATGAAGCATGTTGGGCTAATTATTTTCTCGCTGTCCCCCCTCGCCTGCCAGATCCCACAAGTCTCGTGTTCTCAGGGTTATATATGGCCGGGCTAATGGCCTTGCACCGGCTGCTGACACCGACCAGCAGCATGTCACCTTCTGAAAGTGGATTAGCTTAAGCTGCAGACACGCTGTCACATCACTAAGCCAGTCCCTGACCAGGTCTTGGCCAACCCTTAGCTGTTCCAGGCCTGTCAGATGACAATGGGATCTCCAAAAGCCCAGCATCAGACAAGGCAAGGGATTGGCACTGAAAAGGTCTCCTGTGAGCTTCTAGTATCTCCTGGTTTCTAACAGATCTGGTGATGCTCAGCCGCTTGCGAGACTGGGTCGTCAGTGTTGTATTAGACATGTTGGCGTGCCTCATCTCCCCTTCTCAGCCTGCAGCGTCTGCTCTGCTCTTAGGGACAGCCTCCTTCCCCAAACGCCAAGAAACAAAGAATTTTTTAGATGGTGATAATATTCCTGAGTCACATATAATCGGATCTACAATCACCAAAGCACTGACAATTAAGGCATAGTGACGTTTTTCACACACACAAAAAAAAAAGAGCGGCTGATTGACAACAGTTTTCCTAGAAAAAAAAGTGTAATTTTCCATTACTATTTTAACTTTTAAGAGAATTAGAAAAATAAGAATTTCCATTTGACTTGAAGGCGACATTTTCATTGCACTTCAGAAAAGGATTATTTTTTACACTTTTAATTCCAAATGTCTTTTTCTTCCTCTTACTCGCTAATGTTTTGTTACTGAAGGCAACAGAACAGGTGCATATGACTTCGCTTTTCCCCTCCAACACATTTTCTTTTTTCGTTCCGAATTCTCCGAAGTTAGAGCAGCAGACGAAAAAAGCCGAAACAGTCATCAGACTTTTCCAACTTTCCTACAAAATATCCTTAACTTTACAAAATTGCTCAAATGTGAGATTTAATACACTGCTTTGTTTTTCTTCTTCCTTTCCCTTATTCTGTAGTCTTCCTGAAAATGCATAAGCTTTCAAAAGATAGAGTAGAAAAAGGAAAAAAAGATACAAATGACATCTATCTTATTGCACTCAACACAAAAGAGGGAAAAGTGATGATAGAACAAAGTAGAGCATCCAAAACCAAAAGCTGGTTTGAACATTTGCTTGAATACAGCTGAGTTTTTCTTTGGGGGGAGGATGGAGAGGAGGAGGGGGAAGAGTTTTCCACCCATTTCTAACCATAGTACATCACTGGGAATAGAAAAGTCAGTACTCAGCCAAGACAGTTACCACTCTCTCCTAAATCCTTGTCTTCCACCTTGTTTCTGCTGCAGTTAAGGTTCCATCATACACTCCCCACTGTCAGCTAGGGGCATCCCGGGTGCTCCAGCTGGCAGGTTTCCAGTTGCACACCCCAGAGACACTTTCGCTGCCGGACTTGTGTTCACAAGCCAGGAACCCAACTCCCACTCTTGCTGCTTGACTACATGAAGACAGAAGGATTTTTATAGCAGGAGGTAGAGGAAGGCTGACACACGGTGATTGGCAGGCATTTGTTTTACTGCTCCAGAGGCTATTAAAATGGTCATGTAAATATCCTCAAAATTATATCATTAAATTATTTCCTATTCAAGAGAGTTCCATAGTATAGGGAAAAGAATAAAAGTTAAACTGAATCAAACCAGCAGGCTGGAGAGGAAACACTCCTAAACCCATTCTGCCAAACTTATGCTCTACCACTCCAATTATACCCATACTCCCACAGCTCAGTGCCACATTTGTAAAGGATTACCATCATGCTGGGATGAAAGAGCCAATAGTGAAAAGGGTTGTTCAAGCCCCAACTCCTTGGATCAACACATACCAGCAAAGACCAAACAAGCAAAACCCCTTGAAAAGTACCAATGTTGGACATAGGACATCTGCTTCCAATTAAAACCAAGAAAAGATCTGTCCCCATGTCCTCCCCCAGCCCTGCACCTCTCAGGAGGGCGGCTAACCAGAGCAAGGATAAGAGATACCTTCACATTCTTCTTGATTTGAATGACCTGAAACAGGGAGGCTCCCACAAACTCATCAACAAAGAGCAAGTCAAGAAGAGCCTGTGTCAGCAGTCAGTTCCTCTGAATTAGACATGTGTGGTTCCTTCCTAAAAAAAAATAAATACTTACCATCACCTCCTGGTTGCTTGTATGGGTTGTACTTTGGCTTAGGGGCAACAACAGGCGCAAACTTCTTTGGTGTCTGCTGGGTGGACACCGAGATGCTGGGAGTCCCAAAGGTGTGTGTGGTCTCCATCCTTGCAGTTACGTGTCCAACAGGCTCGTTGGTACTCTTGGGTGGCAGCCAGGACGGGTGGGACATGGTTCAGATCTGAGAGGAGAGGCAAAGAGAATCACACATATGTTAGGAATTTAGGCTGAGGAAATAACAGTTGCAAACCTGCTGCTTTGCTTGGTTATAAAATCAAACCCACAAAATCCTTCAACTTGCTTAACTTGTGCGTGCTTATCTTTAAACATATTGGTCCTGATGTATAGGACTCATGATACAAACTCATCTCTTTTTCCCCAGTCGGTCAGGATTACTGATCGGCTCACTGGTGCTGCCTGCAAAAAGCAGGCACTATTTTCCTCTTCAAACCAAAGCGGAGGCAGGCTGATACCCCGGAGAAGCCCATCAATCCCACCATCCATTCAGCACAGTAGTCATATACTTGCCTTTGCCTGTTAGGCTTCTGCGGGTACATTAATGTACAACAGTGCAGGTGCTCTGGGGACAAGTGTAGCCACAGATAGGCAGACACACTTCCAAAATATACCTTTAGCACTTTTTCATGTGTCATTTAGGACCCCACATCCCAGCAACTGTCATTCAAACTTTTACGAAAAAGGATTTCAAAAGCAGCTCATCTTTGTTGATGCCTCCATTTCTGAATGCCCGGCTTAAGATATTTTAAAAGCATGTCAATTTTGAGAAAATGCCAGAATCCCACAACCACTGACAACCGGGCTCCTTTTAGACATCTCGACTTGTGTAACAGAAAACAGAGGCAGCCCAAATCATTATTTATTTATGAAAATCTTGGCTTTGGCCTCTTAAAAGCCTACATCACTTTTGAGAACTGGACTCAGATGCTGCTGAAAACGTTGCCCATAAAAATCCTGTTCATTGCACTAAACAAGTGCTTTTCACCACACACAAACCACACTCACTGAGTAGCAGCGATGGTCCTACAGTACCATCAGATGATCCCGCAGAGCTGGATTTGAGATGTGATGAGGAAATGAAGACCCCATGCAGACAAAAGCCAATGCTAATTTTGGAGCTCTTGAGCACCCTGTCACTTTTGCTCACCCTCTGCTTTGGTGTCAGGACTCCTCACGGGCACCGAAACCAGCAGGCAGCTGTGACCCAATCAGGAAGGATTTGTTTTGAACATGGAAAAGGATCAGTGCAAGAGATGGCACCAGGCCACGGGAGACGTTAGCAGAGTGCCATTGCAGAAAAGCAGTTCCGTCGGGGAACAACGGGATAAAGCAGAGGCGCTGCTGGATTTGCAAAGAGGTGGTCTCTAACTGCAGCAGCAAGTGCAATCCGCTGGGACTGAGATGCCAGAGAGATCCATAGCTCTGCTGAGCGTGGCAGCAAAGGGCTGTATTAGCCAGTTTGAACCGTTCTCTGAGCTCAGGGTGGGCAGAGGAAAGGGGACAGATGAAAGGTGGCCTCTGGCAGGTGTGGACCCCCTTGGAGTGAAATCATTACCAGAGTCCACAGTGCTACAACTCTCTAACCATTCTGACACAGCTCCGTGGTCATGCATGCAGCCGTCTATTCGAACGGCTCACGAGGAGGTATTTCCAAAGCTGAGAAGTGCAGCCACACAAAGCCTGCGTACCACGCAGGAATGCAGCCACAGGTCCGCTCCCAGCCTACCTGAGCACATTCTTGGTGCCTCACAGCTCAGAATTCCATGCATACATGCTTCTCAGAAACAAACAACACTGAGCTTTTTAAACCAGCCCCCAGGATTATATGGAACATTTAGGCAGGAAGAAGGCATATCTGATAGCATATTTAAGTCTACCTAGAGAAAACAAAGCAGAAATCACACTTCATTTCCCCTTTCTGCTAATTTGGGCTCACACATCACTAGAAACGTCAAGGCTAAGCTGTTGGGACTTAGCAGAGCTATTTTGCCAACTCATCTTCGCTGGCAAAGCATCTGCATCCTACGAGCTTCATGGTGGAGCAAATTCAGTTGAGTGCTTTATCAAAGAAGCAAATGAAGACTCTTGGGTATAAAGTAGAGAAAGTAGTCCTTTGGGTTCCTGCACGGATAACATTGTTCTTGTAATTTGCTGTTAGCAATGCTGAGTCAGTGTGGGGGAAAGGAGCAAGGTCTCCACATGGTAGTGTGGGGACAGTACCTCCAGCTAACAGCAATGACTGTTAAAACTGATGTGTATATATATATATGTGCTTATTCCAGCCCAGTAAGTTTACTACAGGTAACAGGTTTCCTACTTGAGGAGACATTTCTACTTAGAGTGCCAATGTCTGACCCAACACTAGGAGACAGACAATTTGTGATCATTTTCCGCCTCCATTGCTCCTTGCGTGGCAGAGGAACTGGCAATTGCCAAACATCAGCCCCAACACTTGCGGCTCTTCCTCACTGTGCACTCCCGACTGCTCAGCGTGCATACAGTGGTTTCATGATCCCTACCCCTGGAGGATGAGCCTGTTGTGCTAGACATCTGATACCAGTGAAAGAAAGCCACTGGGGCCAGCATGGACTGACTGGCTAGAAATAAGGCAGACAGGAGCGTGGCAGGAGCACCCTGGAGATGGACAAGCATCCAAGGCTGAGCTGCAAGGACACAACTTTCCCTCCCACATATGACTGCCTTCCGACCTTACATTAACAGTGTGGAGCATCATTCTGAAAGCAAGAAGTGAAAGGCAGGTCCTCCCCACAGGGTCAGAGAGGAAACCAGCCGCGACGGGTGGGGGCGGAGGGCACGCGAACCGCACTCCCACCGCCTGGTACTTCCCGTTACCAACACCAGCCCTGATGGACCTAGAAAACAACTGCCACTAGAGCAGTAAGATTCACCTACACTGCTGCCGCCTCCTCCCACATCCTTCAAAAATGTAGAACGCAGCAATAAAACTCAGACAACTATCTAGGTTTTAAGAGCAGAAAGCAACGAGGGCACTCAGCCTTAAGAGCTAAACAGGACAACTCTGCACTCTGCAGAGTTATTACATCCAAAGATGACTATACCTTACCCATTGCTAAAAGCATCCTGGAGTTTTATTCTGACAGGTTTTCAGCCCCTGGCTTGACATCTCATTTGAAAGAGCATCCTGCCCCATGAAGCACCCTCAGACCCTGGATGTTACCTCCATATTGATTCAAAGCAGAAAAAAAACACAACAAACCAAACCAAAAAACAAACCAAAAACCCCAAACCCCAAACAAAAAAACAGTACTGACCGGATTATTATTCCTGTTCTGGTAACTACCTAATTGTTCCTTAACCACCTCCCAGGCAACACGCCTCAGTCCCACTGAGCTCTCATGGTCTGCCAGGCTGACGGCAGGGATAGGTTGAGTGACACACAAATCAAGACTATCTGCTTCAGTAGCCAAGTTGCACAGTGCTGGGGATGGCTGAAGATGATGTGAATCTCAATGAAGGAGCTTAAAAAGCAGAATGCTCTTATGGACAGTTTGGGAGCGTGAAGACCACACTGCTGTAACTCAATTGCTGACTGTAAGCTGGCACGCAGCTCCTCTCAGCTACCCTCTAAAGCATTTGTTTTGGCGGTGGTGGTACTTTCTAATTGTTTCCCTGTTAGCCTTTTCTCTTCCTCTTTCTCCCCCTCTCATTTTCTGTTTTGCATTTACCGCCACTCATTTTTCCTATCTGTGCCTTGACAATGTTTTCAGCAAGTTCCCTTTTCCTCATCTGTTCCAGCCCCAGCTCCTCAGCCTCAATTAAATTTAGCCTAACTACTTTGCGAGATCATATAAAAAAGAAAATTAATGAATGTCTTTTTAACAGCTGAAGCTAAACTTGTGGGTTTGCTGTTATGTTCCCCCCTTTCTTCCATCTGGTAAAAGGTCAAGAGCAAGGTAAGATACAAGGGACAGTGGCTTGCAGATGGGCACAGCCCCCCAACACTCTCTGCAGACTTCTCCACAGTGGAGCACCCCGGCCAATTCAGACAAAGCCATCAGTGCTCCCCCACCATTCCCTGCAACATTGTCTGGTCTTCAATCAGAAGCTTCTTTGGAGCAAAACGGATGAACGTTTTGTGATGTGGACAAGTAGTCAAAACAGCACAGGGAAACTTGGGCTTATAACCAATTCTCTTACTCTAAACCTACTCTTACATATGCCACCACCTCTGTGTAATTGTAGTTCCTGCACTTGGATTAAGAACATCCAATAGGTAAGGGAAGTCCTTTTCTGGCTAGCCAGCAAACACAACCAGCAAATGCATGTTTCACTTTTGTCTTTGAACTGTTTCCTTCCAAAAAAGTTATTTCTGCCAGTTCTACAGTAAACAGTATTGTTCTCAGAAGTTTCTAACTAGATGTGGGATGTGGGGAATTGTAGAAGGCGGTGGTTACAAGAAGGCTAAAGTCACTGAGAAACTCAAGAGAATAAAAAGAATAAACTATTGGATATTGCAGGCTTGAGAGATGGGCTGGTGGAACCCGAGAAGCAGGATCAGAAGTGCATCTGCTCACCTTGGCTGTCAGGGATGGAGCTGTTACACAATAGCTGCAGTACCCATTTCTAAAAGTGAATACAGCAAGCTCCTCCTTCAAGGGTAATAGCAGATAGAGTGAAAAACCATCAGACCCAATCTAATCACTTTGATTCTTCAAAAACAATCCCTCCACACACACCTGGTGAATAGTGAGTCTCATCAGCCTTTTGCTGGACAAGCCACCTATTGCTGCTCTTGGATGCCAAATGCAAAGGGCCTGATCCTTTTGCTGCTCAAGCCAATGGCTGGACCACAGAGCTCTCACTGAAAAGTTAAACTGTAGGTTAAATCTACAGTTGCCCCCGCACTTCTGCTTCAAGCAAATCGTTCATCAGACATGGTGTGAATTCAACAAGCCCCTTCCTAACAAACCTGCATGAATCTAGCCACCCAACATTTAACAAAGCCAGGATGGAACAACCTTTGTCACCATAGCCCATGTCCCTGGGAACCCTCCCAGAGGGACAGCAACCTCACGCTTCCCCATCACTGCCTCATCTCCCTCTGTCTTGGCTGAAGCCTTCTGCATTTCTGCGTGCCACTGTCACACAGCCATCCTCCCTGGTCAGCAGTAA